CGAGAGAAAGTTTTTCTTACAAAACCTTTCATTATTGAATCATGGTGAAAAATATTTGATGAATGAAATTTGGAATAATTTTGAAAAAGGAAAAGAAAGGGTGCGCGTCAAACTACCGGAATTTGCTACAATGGAACGACATCCTGCGACATCAGAAGTGGGCAATGAGCCTGAAAGTCCTTATAGCGGCGAATCGAACGCTGAGGAAAATATGTGGAAAAAATTGTACGAGCAGCAAAATCAAGATTTCGTAAAATTGTTACGATTGGTCAATTCTTCCTCGGCTGTAAATAATGATGTTCAGCTACCTGAATTTGATCCAGAGGGACACAACGTTAATGCACGTGCTTGGATATCTACAGCGGACATGTGCATGAAAGAGAAGCCTTTAAAAGGTTCGTCTTTGATGTTGACTTTAAGCAGAGCTTTAAAAGGACAAGGAGCTATTTGGCTAACGCAAGTTTCTTATCCGGATATGACTTGGAACGAGTTTAAGGAAATTTTTATATCGAGATTTGATTTCTCTGAAACGAATGCTGCGTTCTTGATCAATTTGGTTAACAACAAGCCAAAGGATGACGAATGTTTAATTTCGTATGCTGCGACTATAGTTACGTCTTTGTCATCAAAATGGAAAACTCTTTCTACAGAGGAAATTATTGTGTCAACGGTACTGGCACATTTGGCGCAGTTTGATTTCCGTATTCATCGGTTGGCGTTTACAACAAGTATACAGACAAGGAAGCAACTGCAGCAAGAGTTAAGTTCGATGTCATTTTTGAAAAGAAAACTTTCTACTGGTTTAAATGATCGCGACCGTTTTGATGTTAAGCGTCAAAAGTTCGGTGTTGTTTCTTCTATCAAGTGTTATATCTGTGGAAAACCTGGCCATAAGTCTGTTACGTGCAAGTTTCGGTTTGGTAATGACGACAAATCAATATCTGTCAAGAAGGATTCAGCAAGTAAGAGCGTTTCCAGTAACAACAATGCATCGGTAACCTGTTTTCGTTGTCAAAAAGTTGGCCATTATGCCTCAAGTTGTCCGAATGTGATTAAGAAGGCTGTGGGTGTTGATTCATCAAATAATGCTGTTAATCATAGGATTGATGTTTGTACCATAAAGTCACCACTAGGTATTTTGCGGCAATCAGGTGAGCGATACAATTTTTGTTATGATTCGGGGGGCGGAGTGTTCACTTATTAGAGAGTCGGTTGGTTCCAAATTTTGCGGTAAACGGTTTAATAATGTCGTGAATATGACAGGTATTGGGCATGCAAGTGTTATTAGTACTTTGCAAATACTAGCCACAGTGGAAATTGATGCGATTTTAATAGAAATTCTGTTTCATATTTTACCGGATATTTATTTAGGTTATGATATCATGATCGGGCGTGAAATTCTAAATCAAGGCGTGAGTGTAAAAATGACGTCTAGCGAATTAGTTTTTAATAAAAGTGATGTTAACGTTAACATTTGTCACGTAGAAAACCATTTCTTGAATTTTGAAGATTTAGCTACTGATATTCCTTCTGAATTTAGATCAGAGTTGATTACTATGTTAAATAATTATAAAACAAGTTTTACTGAAGGTACTCCTTGTAGGTCTACTGTTGTGGCTTCTATGCAAATACGTCTTAAGGACCCTAACAAAACAGTTAATAGACGTCCCTATCGGTTAAGTTTTGAAGAGCGTAATATCGTTCGCAAAAAGATAAATGAACTATTGAACGCGGGTGTGATACGACCTAGCTGTTCTCCTTTTGCTAGTCCAATTTTACTTGTTAAAAAGAAGGATGGTTCCGATAGAATGTGTGTTGATTATCGACAGTTGAATGATAACACAATTCCTGATCGATTCCCTTTACCACTAATATCGGATCAAATCAACAGATTACATGGAAGTTGTTATTTTACTACGTTGGACATGGCTAGTGGTTATCATCAAATACCGGTTGGTTCTGATTCGATTGAAAAGACAGCTTTTGTGACACCAGAAGGTCATTACGAGTATCTTGCCATGCCATTTGGATTGCAAAATGCTCCAGCTGTGTTTCAGCGTGCTGTTATGAAGGTTTTAGGAGAACTAGTTCATTCTTATGTAGTCGTTTACATGGATGATATACTGGTGTTGGGTACAGAAGACGTTAGGAAGAGTTTGGAAAGAATAGATATGGTTTTGAAAGTACTTACAGCGTCGGGATTTTCGCTTAATGCTAAAAAGTGCTCTTTCATGAAGCGAAAAGTAGAATATCTTGGCTATGAAGTAAGTGAAGGTAAAATTAAACCTAATCCTAGAAAAATTGAAGCCTTGACTCAGTTGCGTCAATTTATTTGATTGGCATCATATTTTAGACAATTTGTGCCTAAGTTTTCTCAAATTATGTCACCATTATATGCGTTAACAAGCTTCAGTAAAGGTAGTATTATTTGGAAGCCCTCACACGAGATTATTAGGAAACAAATCATAGGAGTATTGACTGATTCACCAGTTTTAACAATTTTTGATCCAAATTTTCCAACTGAGTTGCATACCGATGCAATTTCTTTAGGATATGGAGCAATTTTAATGCAGCGGAATGATAAGCACCTTTATGTTGTTGCGTATTTTAGTAAATGCACCACATCTGCAGAGGCTAAGTATCATTCTTATGAATTAGAGACTCTGGCAGTTGTTAATGCTGTTAAATATTTTAGGCATTTTCTATATGGTCGCAAATTCCTTGTTGTTACTGACTGCAATTCTTTGAAATCAGCACGTACAAAGTTTGATTTAACTCCTAGAGTACACAGAATGTGGGCGTTTTTGCAAGCTTATGATTTTGATATTATTCATAGAAGTGGTGATCGTATGGGCCATGTAGATTTTCTTTCGAGAAATCCACAACTCATAGCTAAAACTCAGAGTTTTGACAAAGTTGAGCGAAGAGAAGTAAATTTTGCAGATTTAACGGCGAATTGGTTGATAGCTGAGCAACAACGTGATTTTGAGATTCAGAAGGTGGTTTCTGATTTTAAAGAAAATAAGTTGTGTGATAATTTGTCAAAGACTTATGAGATGCGGTCAGGTGTATTATATCGTACTATACAACGTAATGGTAGAACAAAGTGTTTGCCAATTCTTCCCCGAACTCTACGGTGGTCTGTAATAAATCGTATACATGAATCTTTAATGCATCTTGGGTGGGAAAAAACTCTTGAAAAGCTTTATGAGACATATTGGTTTGAAAATATGGCAAAGTATGTGAAGAAATTTATTGAAAATTGCATTGTATGTAAAATTTCTAAATCTCATTCTGGTAAAGTTCAAATGGAGTTACACCCTATTCCAAAAATTTCTATTCCTTGGCATATGGTGCATATTGATGCAACAGGCAAACTGAGTGGTAAAAGTGATAAGAAAGAATATGTTTTTGTTATAGTTGATGCCTTCACACAATTTGTAATTTTACGACACCCTTTGCATATTGATTCAGCCAGTAGCATTCAAGCTCTCAAATTTTGTGTTTCTCTTTTTGGTACACCCAAACGTATCATTGCTGATCAGGGCAGATGTTTTGCTAGTTCTGAATTTCGTACCTTTTGTGATTCTTATTGTATTGAGTTGCATCTTGTAGCTACTGGTAGTTCTCGTGCAAATGGTCAGGTAGAACGAGTAATGAGTACTCTTAAAAACATGCTTACTGCTGTAGAGACGAATAAAGAACGATCGTGGCAAAATGCTCTCGGTGAGGTTCAATTGGCTTTAAATTGTACGATTAATCGAATTACAAAATATAGTCCACTCGAATTATTGATAGGGAAGGTTGCAAGGCCACTTGATCTTATGTGGTTAGAAGAACTAGAATCAGAAACTGAGATTGATGAATTTAGACAAAATGCTGTGGAAAATATTGATCAGAGTGCGAACTATGAAAAAAACAGATTTGACAAAAATAAAGCTAGTGTAAATAAATTTGTTGTGGGTGATTTTGTTTTACTGCAAAATGAGGAACGCAATCAGACGAAACTGGATCCCAAATATAGAGGACCTTTTAAAATAATTGAAAATTTAGATGGGGATAGATATATGCTGTCTGCTCCGCACTCTAATCGTATTTATAAGTATGCTCATGATCGTTTGCGGAAAATGCCTAATGGTGCTGATTTTGTAGATGTTGAAGATTTTGGGGATAAGGAAGATATCACAGATTTGTAAATAAGTTTGAAAATATCTTCGAAATTGGAACGAAGTATGAAGTTGAAGTGATGAAGTATGAGATAAAATTTAGAAAAACCACTGGATGGAAGTGGTGGAAGTTGGAATATAATCACTGGATGGAAGTGGTGGAAGATGTTAATATAGTTTTAGATGGAATTAGAGTTTCTGTTGCTGGATGTAAGTGGCAGAAACACTTTGCTAATTTTACTGGTCAAGTGATTTAGTTTGGATTGTTAATTAATGAAGTTTTTATTGCATTTGACTTAACATAAGCTTTTGTTATGATTCAAATTGTAAATCTATTTTTTTTCCCCCCCCCTTCTTTTAAATAAAATTGGTTAATGTTAAAATTTAAATCAGAAGTGGCCGAGTGGAAGTTATTGAAAGGTATCACACGTGGACGTGTGACTTGTCAGAATGGCCGTGTCGGATCCTGTAATAAATTTAGAGCATCAGTTAGATGCTTGGGTAGAGTGGCGCGCACTGTATCAAGTTCTACTTGTTTAAGAATTTTCAAGCGGGTGGATAATAGGTGTTGAAATAAAAATGGTGAAAAATATTTGATGAATGAAATTTGGAATAATTTTGAAAAAGGAAATGAAAGGGTGCGCGTCAAACTACCGGAATTTGCTACAATGGAACGACATATGTATGTTTTTCTAAAATAAACCTTTTCTAAAAATAAACTTTTATGCTCTTCATAAATATGGTGCAAATTACCTCCAAACTTAATTTAATTATTTATTTATATTCTGGCATGGCAGGTGTTCTTATTTATGACAGCATTGATGATTGACTTTCCCTTGGAATTTTTTTGGTTGTTTTGTTATGGTGGCGGCGCTAACAACTTTCAGTTACGCATTAATTTGTAATGCTGTAAGATGCATTTACGGTATTCTGTGCCTGTGCCTGTGCCTGTGCTTTGGTATGCAACATGTCCATACATGCATTCTTTTACTAAAATGTGGTCACTGCATTCGCTCAAGTTTATCTGATTTGGGATTAAAATGATATTTAGGTATAAATAAAATTACAGATTGTTTACTTCTACGCTAAAATGAGTAATTTTGCGGCCCAAATTTTTCAAAAAAGTAAAAAATAGCACTTCATTCATCTTAAACAATTTTAATTAAATTCGCCACCTCTGCTATAAAATTTTTTCTATAGACTGCGACTGTAATTAACAAAATTATTATAAATGAAATTATTCAAATGCAAGCTGCCTTTGCAACCTGACCCAGAACTTATTTGATTTTTACGTTATGTTTTTGTGTACCCTTTCATCCTTATTCTCTGCTTAATTTCCTTCAATTTTAGCATCCGAAAATTGGAAGTGGGGGCTGCATTGCATACGCTTAAGACACTTACCCTGGTATTCGCTAAGCGCTCTCTAGTCTCAAAAATAAGGCACTAAGGGCCAAATTCACGGTGCGTAGTTAACTCAGAATCGGCATTTAACTACAGAATTTCACTACAAAAATCTGTAGTTAACTGCCAATTCTGAGTTAACTACGCACTGTGAATTTGGCCCTAATTTGTGAGCTGGCTAAGAGCAGGTCACAAAAATTAAAATTTGGAGGAAAAGATAATTGCGTTCCATTTTATTAAAAAAAAAACGCGAAAATGAAGCGAGGAAATTTGTTCAACAACAATTTCATTAGAAAATAAACCAAAATGCTTTAATATCATACAAATTCGTTAAACATTTTTTGTTTGTTTTTAAAACATAAAAATTTAAATATTATGTTACAAAAAATAAAACTAACCAAAAAATTACTAAAAAAAATTATTTAAAAAAAATCCTCTCGGCCGGCAGCCTTATGCTTAACGCTATCAGTTGACCGTCTGTGTTATTGTTTTCTCCACATATTTTTGGTGAACTTTTTGTGACTCTCTCCTACTGAATACCCAAAACATCTCAAGTCACAAAAATAGTCGCTAATTACTAGTCTCAAATTTAGTGACTTGAGATGAGACTGAATTGCTGAATAAATAAATTGTTATATCTAGCCTTTTGAGACATGAAGCAGCCCCTCGGGCCGCACTTCAACGCAATTCACCCGCATCTCACCTCAAGAGGTGAACTAATCTAAACTGAACTCAACGCAGATAAACTTTTTTTTTTTGTCAGAAACAGGCACAAAACAACGCGTGCACTGTTTTCATGTCCCATTTAATCTGTTTTAAATCTGCACGATTTACCAATAAAAAGATACACGTTCTCTGATCTCTGCCGCCAGCGATTTCCGCCTCACCCCACTCAGTTTTACACCAACATCCGTTTATTTTTAGTCTGCAGGTGACCTTTAAGACATCCCCACGAATGAAGACACAAAGTTACGGTAAGTGCAGCAGTACATCAACAGCAGCGCCAGGTATTGTAGAGAAGGCTCCCGCACACCACTGACGCATAGCTGATTATAGGCCTGATCATAGGGGTATAAATCTAGAGGCCTCCCTTTTGCCAAAAACCTATTTACCTTGCCAAAATGCTGCCAATGCGTTGGAGGTCTTGTGTTCCACACGTGAGATTTCCACGATAGTTTTGTATCCGGAATTACTCCTAGATACTTCAGTTCGGGAGAGGTCTGAATTGTGACTTCTTTAAGTTAAACTAATCTCACTTCTACTCACCCCACCTCAACTCACTCAACTCAACTCATCACAACTCACTCCAACTCAGCTTATTTCACCCCAGCTCACTCTAATTCACGTTAACTTCCCTAAACTCACTTTACCTCATCATAATTTTAGTGGTTGAATTTAATAACGTTCATAGATTATAATTTACACACACACATATGCATATAACGAGCCCTAACCGCCAAAATGACGTAAGCGACATTGTTTCAAAGTTTTAATTTTGATGCAGGAGTGCATCTGCATAGACGCTCTAAGATCATTTCTGTATCAAAAAGAAAATTTTGAAAAAAAAACGTCCCTCACCTCTTTTTGACGGTTAGGTTTCGAAATGCTCGCTCGCATTGCTTTAATTTAATTTTTTCTTTGAATAAATCCAATCGAGTGTTTGAGTCCATTTCACAAGACTTATTATTTTCGAGTCCATATCTGCAACGGACAACAAAACTGTCCAAACAATTGCAATTTTTCCAAACACAAAAACACTAATGAATATGTAACTAACTATAAAAGTTTATTTGTATTTGTTTGCATCGGAAACCACTTACATGTTCATGCCACAATAAAGTGCAACCTGCAGCACGTTACAGCAGGTTTCCACTGTCATTTTTCGCAACTTTTGCCAAAGTAACAACTTTCATTTCCTACCATCGCCCCGCCGCCGCCGCCTTACGCCCTTATCGAAGGTTTACCAAAAAAGTGTTTGTCTGCAATTTTTCTCTGAAGCGACTGACGTTGTTTGAGCGTCTTGTGTGGGTTGTCTCCTATAGTTTCCGGTGTGGATTTGTGGCGACGTCAGCTTTGAAAAGTATGGCACAGAGCTGGCGTCCGATATTTGAAGTGCTTACTAGTATTTATGAATTTCCATATATAAACTCAACTGGGGTATATCTGCCTGCGCGTATAGTATGTAAGTATATGCATACATATGTACATATGTTTTGTTCATGTGCATACGTACGTACATACATAAGTGAAAGTAGTAAGTATACTTAAGCAAAACCAAGTGCTTTCAAATTTAAATTTTGCTCTTTTAACCATACAAGTTTTACGCGCTCAGGCACACAACCCATACACCTACATACGTTTGTATGTATATATGTATGTATAGTAGTTAGTATGTCCCTTGACATGACTTTCCACTTGGCTTAGGCGGTTTCTCACTTATCCCCAGATGGATGAATGTTGAAGACGAAGCGAAACGGAGATAGGCATTTGCTCAGGTCGCAAGGCAGCAAAAAGCACTACAGCCATGGCAACACTCCTTTTAAAAATTTTAAGTGACCGTAAGCCACACAGGCCTTAGTTGCTCGTTTGATTCTATGTATTTGTTTTTATACTCGATTTTCTGTTACTTTGGCCTTAGCTTCGGCTTTTTGTTGCACTTGCACTTCTGAGATTAGTTTTTAATTGTTCCCGGAAAATATTTTGAAAATTCAATTAGTTCAGCTGGTTGAATTATGTCGTGCAGTCTCTTTTGCTCAGCAATTGATTGATTGGAAAAGTTTTGTGGGATTTATGAAAAATAATATGGCTTAAAGGATTGCATCCATGGAAGCGAAAGGACATTCAGTTGATTGCACTGCAGAATTTACGTTGTATACTATATTTGTATGTATCCTGATCATGAGCGCCGCGATTTACGCCCAGCTTGGTACATTACGTATATTAGATACATACATATACATATATTTGTTTGGGTGTACGTGATTTGGTAGGCGAGGGGAAGCATTAATTGAATATTTACGTAAACGCAGGTGAGCTTGACGCCACCAACGCACAGTGGTCTGAATAGAGAATCTAGCGGGACAAAACTATTTGAACAGGCCCGCGTTGATGGATTTCGTATCCAATGGTTTATGGGAACACTGATTACAAACCTTCAGTTTTAAAAATTCAAAATGGCAGACTAATTTTTCAAAATTTATTGAATTCGCTCGAAACTTGTTACTCGGGGGGTTTTGGGGTCGCTGATTATGAATCTGAACATGAAATTTCAAAGTTCAAAATGGCTGATCCAATATGGCGGAGAAATTTTTCAAAATTCATGGAGTTCGCTCAAAACTTGTTACTCGGGGGGTTTTTTTGAATTCGATCATGAATTTTTTAAATTCAAAACGGGGATCCAATATGGCGGACAAATTTAAAAAAAAAAATTGAATTCGCCTGAAACTTTTTACTCGAAGGTTCTTGGGGTTGTTGCTGCGATATTGGAGAAACCATTCTGAAAAGTGAAAATAATCGTATGGGTGTCGCAAGAGCGCGCAGAAGGAGTATATGTATTTTTTCTTAAAGCCAATACTTCACAGAATTCGTTTTTATGAATTTCGAGTCGGAACTCAGCGGAACTATTTAGT